CCTCACACCTCTCAAGTGGTTGGGAATAATAATTTCCTTGTTCTGCTGACTACGCTTTTGCTAATGCAGCCTAGGTTGCAGGGATCCTTCATTTCTTGAAGGGCTCGCTGCTGAATTATGTTTAAAATACTTCTTGATACTTTTTGTGGTGATCTAATAAAATAATTTTGGTGTAAACCTGTCAGGGTTATTGCCACAGAGAAGTTATTGTCCCACTAGAACAGGCTTCTGAGCTGACTGTGATTTTTGCCCTGTGCTGAAGGTCCTCAGGTACAACCACTCTGGCTGTCTTGATACATCCAATGATACTTTTTCCTCCTTCTAAATTATGGGATTTGTATTCATGGCACATTGGCCAGAAGTTTCAGTAACTGCCTTCACTGTACTACAGTGGCCAAATGAACTCAGCCCGGAGCCAAGGCTGATCAATCCCAGCTTACTACCTTCCTGCCCAACAGGGACCCCCAAGTTCCCAGTTCAGAACAACCTGCTTTTTTCAGTGAAAAAGCATTCGATCGCTGTTGCGTATGCTTCAAGTTCCAAAGTGTATCCCAGGTGTGTGCTTTCTGTTCCTTGCCCTTAAGAGAGCAAGATGCCACTATAATGCAATGATTCAGGCAGCCAAGCATGTGCAGGATAACGCACACCTATAACTCTCCATTACTGTGTGTTTCTCAAAGCTTAAAAAATGTTAAGCAGAGAAGTTACCAAGCAGGGGAAAATGCAATCTATTTCCATGCAGCGGAAAAGAAAGAAAAAAAAAATCCCAGGAATGACGTGCTGAAATGCTCTCTGCTGTGTGCTGCCAGGGGATTTAATCAGCCGATTGCCAAAGAGATGTCAGTTCCCTGAAAGAGTGAGGACAACACGCCTTGCTGAGAAACGTACTCACAGGATTAAAATATCAGCTGCAGGATAAACTAAATATTGTCCTACAAGCAGATAAAAATTTGGGTGAGAATGAACAGTCTTCATCCTTAAAATGTGTGTCACTACACCATCACACTTTCCAAGCCTATCTGTCCACCTCTGCCAACTGGTCAGGTACCCCCAACAAATTCAGGTACCTCTAGAGCCAGCTGGCTGAACAAGTCAAGCCAGGTGTACCAGCCCTAGAAGCCAAGCAGAATCCCATGACACGAAGTACCACCTGTATTACTGGAATGGCCACCATGGACAGTGCAGTTTACACACAGACAAAAGGTGTTCAAGCACAGAGAGTACAGTGGTACCACAGGAGGATGGTCTGCAATCATTACTGAAGGTCCAGGGGTGGGCGCCTTGTGTTAGGGTGGTGAAGGAGGACAGAGAGAAAGAAACTAGGAGAGTAGATAAAGAAGGAAAGAGCTGAGGTGGGAACGTGACAGTCAGATGTGATCGTGGAGGAGGCAACAAGGATGGAGGAGGCAGCCTGCATGGAAGTGTGCGTTTGCCACCCTCCTGGGTCAAAGCTGCACAGAAGAGCTTGTTACAAAGGTTGTGAGAGAGAAAGTGTCGTGGTAACTTTGGGCTCAGCTGGCTTTCTCCACACATTTTCTTTTCTGAGCTTGTCAGGAGCTGATGCCCTCAGCAGGAGGTGGGAACCTGGCTGTGCTATTCCCTGTGCTTCAGCTCCTGGGAGGGAGGCCCCACTAACCTCCACCTACCACCTGCTCCAGGGCTCAGTTCCCTCCTGCAGTCACTTTACATTGCTCCTGGTTTATTTTCTTGCCACACAATTATAAGTGCTCTGTCACCCTCTTTCCAGCTCCCAGCCCAGGCTGGCAGTGCCCCATGGTTGGTGCAGCATGGCCACTCCTCCTCATGCAGCTCTGAGCTGAGATGGTACACTCTGAACAAGTTGTGTAGATGGGGGCTGTGCCAAAGCCAACCTTTCTAAAGAAATAAGCCGGTCTGGAAGCAGCCACTGGTCCTAGGGGTCACCACTGCACGCAACATGTTACTTGCCAAGCCTGTCTGTGCCTCAGCACAGTGTAAGGAGGGCATCTTTTCACCCCTCAGTGCTCCTCCTCCCCCCAGCACCAGCAATTATACCCAGGTTTTTATTCACCACAGTCCTCAGCTGAGCCCAGCAGGTCGCTGTTACAAAATTCCAGAAGCCCTAAACATACACACGTGGGATATGGGCATGCCTTACCAGGGAGAAACCGGCAACGGTGACCAGGGTGCTCTTCCATGGTGTGGAGAGGAGCAAGGGCAGGCAGGATAAGTAAAAGGGGGCAACAGAGAGCTGGGAAAGAAGGTGAAGAGATCAGCTGTACTCTCCAGAGATGCACAGCCGTGTTTGTCTGACTTTGCCTCCTCCTAAGGAGATAAGACAAATCAAGTGTCTGTGACAGATGTTAGTCACGCTGCCTCACGTGCTAGTGAAGGGTGCTTGGCAGTGCGGGGTGGGAGGGGGAGCAGAAAACTCCAGGCACTGTAAAAAAAATTAACCACTTTGTCCCAACCCTCAGGTGAATTACCACTTTTCCTTGTCTGGTATAGGGCATTCTGACAAGCTCTCCCAAATCCAGACCAGCCCCCTTCTTCGAGGAGACTCTCGATCTTATTTCTTTCTAGGCAGCTTGCAGAGACGGAGGAGGAGAGCTGAGAGGCTACAGAGAACTCGCTGGCAAAGAGAGAAGCAAAAGGGATGTCAGTGCCAGGCTGGAGTTCCCCTTCCAAGGCATAAGATTGAATACATTTGCTGCGTTGCAGAATGAGGAGAGAAATGTCACCTTCAGAGGTGATCTGACAATCACAAAAATAAATTACAGAGAGGAGGAAAAAAAAAAAAAGGACGAGCATTTGTGAATATTCATGAGCGAGTCAAAACGCCCAAATTAACAAGGAAATTAATTTCCAAACTGATTAGGCTGCCAACTCCTTTTATTTAAATAAATCAACAATTGCCATCATGTGACTCTTGCTGAAAAATGCAGAGCTAATCCTGGCTCCTCCCAGGAGGAAGTTTTGTGCTGCCTGGGATGACCAATACCCCAGCACCTTCTGGGGACAGGCAGGCGCTGTGGCTGGAGCTGCCTGCCTCTCAGCCGCCAGGAGATTTCCCTCTGCCCACTGCTCCGGATGCTGCGGTTTCACGATCCCCCAAGCCAATCTAACCACTGGCTGCTATAGTTGTGCTCTCCCCGGTCCCACCCTCTTACTCATGCTGGCTCTGAAAAGCTTTTCCAGCATGCCAAGCTGGCATAAAACCCGTGCAACAATAAAAAAAAAAGAGATTTCTCCCAAGTCAGAGCACTGAAACGGATCAGCCAAACACCCAGTGCGCTACGCCGCAGGTGAGGAAGGTAACCTAACCTGACCTGGGAGGTGAGCCCAGTGCCAAATTAACCCTGCCACGAGTAGCAGAATTAAATATATCATATCTGAAAGTCTCTTTCCGCATGAATTTTAAGGGTCTAAGACAGAGTAGAACAGCAAGAGCCAGCCTGGCTTGGCTACAGTCTGGTGTGGGGGTGAGCAGCCAGCCCGGCTCAGCCATGTCACGGAGCATCCCTGTGATGTCTTCTCCAGTAACAGCCTCATGCCTTCTCCTGCCCCGTTCAAGGGACTGTCTGCTGCTTCCAGCAGGAACTCCCGCTGCACAGCAACACACCCGGCAGTGCCAGGCACGGGAGACAGCAGGAACTGACAGCCAAAACTCGGGCGGGTTTGATCCGTGAGACCAAATTCTCAATGAGTGAGAACAAGGGTGAGTTGCAGACCCCTCTGGGGTCAAGTTGTGAACGGTCACAAATAAAAAAAATATTAGTATTTGGGTGAGGTTACACTGAGCCTCTGGCTGGCAACTGCGGGAAGAAGGTTATCCCGCTAGCCTCCACGCCTGGCCGTGCCCTCCTGTTCCCTTCAGGGAATGAGATGGTCCAGTTTGCCCATGTGGCAGAAAGCCAGCTTGCTGGAAGTCCTTTCTGTCGGGTTAGCAAGACAAACACGTTTAGCCGCGTACCAGGGAAGCGCCTGAGCCAGCGCAGGCACAGGGGCAGGCTGGGACCCCCCCGTACCATGACAGCCAAACCCTGGGACAAATCCTCAGGAACAGCCCGGGACGTCCCAGGCGCTGGCACCCACAGCCTTTGGGACAACCCCTCTGGACCA